AAAAAAAACATTAAAGATATGGTACATTATCACACATATCTAAAAATATTACACCATTTTCAGATTATAATCCCATTCGAATAACTAACATAAATTATATCCAAACAATTAATAATTATATACACATCATTATCACAAACTCCTGAACATATTATACAATTTTCATAATATATACGATACATAGGTATATTTATACATATAAATATGATATGACCAAACACTTACAAACTATAATATACTATGAAACACACGATACCATACGGTACTCATCAGTTTTCATTCTGAACACACGCTCAACATAAATATTATATACCTTATCATACATATATACATACATACATACATACATACATACATACATACATACAAACATACATAAAAATAGTATACAGTTTTCTTATTATATAATTACATACGAAAAAACGAATCGCTAAAGCATACGTTATACACCGGAATGTATCACATACATACATAAACTTGTAAAAAATTATATTTTTCAAAATATACACGTTAAAGTATAGAGATATTCGTAGACATTCCTCTACCTGACAACATACAGAAATATATATATAATATACGGGCAACCGTTTACAGATGTCGATGAGTTTCGTTCATCCCTTTCTCTAGCACATACATGCACATACACTCATATAACCATAGGTTAGTTCATACATATTTAGATACTCACATATTATATACATATTTGTATAATATTCCGAACACCTTTTTACAGGGAAGTTTCATCAGTTTAAGCGTTGTGTTCCACCGTGCAACACAACATTTCAAAAAGTATTATTACATTCATTATAACAAACAACTAAACATACTATAAAACTTACATATTATTATTGTATTATATATTATCATTTATTCCCATACATGGTACACATATACAACATTCATACATAAATAGGTACTTTCATATTATATACACCATCACACACATCTAATCTTGTTATACAACTTACATATCAATATAAGACACTTCGTTACATATAGACACACTCACACATGAAATACATACTTTAAAATACTTACTCACATTCACATAGATACATTTAAACATTCCAATACATCCACCCTAAAAAGTATTTTCAAAAGTACAACATCGCTCATCAATTGGTTGTACCTACTACTACAAAATTGTTATGCCCAATAATCATCTAGATAGTTCAATTCTATTATATGAGACCATCGTACCTAAGCTTATAAACACGCATATTATAGAAAAATATCTCAATTAAAATAGGTAGATCTACCTATATTTTATTCAGCTCAGAGGATTACTCAACAACATACACAAAATTATATATTTATGACACACAATATTATATATTTATGTAACTAGTAGGTACCTATATACACTATACAGACTAAGGAGAATAGAGGATATCGACTCTGAGGGTCTTAGACGTCGTCTTCGAGATAGTTTGATCACTAAATGCAAAAATAAAACTATCATATTTTGACTTCACCGTTGATACAGTACATTTCATGTTAGAAATAATACAACATTTATTTTATTAAATTTGAATTAAACACAAATATGCTTATGCATCCTTACTTTTCATTTTAACCATATCCACTAGTCTATATTATAATTACCTAAACTCGCCTTATATTATATATTATTAAGGAATTATTATTTCCAAAATATTCACTTTTTAGTAAAGAGTTGTATATAGTATATATTATTAGATATTACACCATATAACCACAGAATAGATGAAATCTTACATATCACTACCGACATATACATATTATAACTATCATGCATGTGCATGGGAAAAACACAAGCGTTTCCAGTCACCGTCACCACCAACGAAACCCCATTCGACTCGAGCAAAACGTATATTATGAGAAAACGCATGCAACTTAGGTACATATCACCCAAGTGACCGACACATATTATATTTTATCAGCGCATACTTACAACAGTCATATCACTTGAATAATATTTTTATTTTACCGTGTGTATACACAGACACACACACACACACACACACACACACACACACACACAAAGGCATATCACCTCCGCTATATATCATTGTATAAGTTATAATATCGGAAAATTAAGAACTATTAACAATATCTCTCATTTCAGTAGATAGGTACTTTATACGGTTTATTACAAAAATCCCGAAAAAGGTACCTACACAATAATTAACGTTACATTTGTAGTATTATAGTAACATCTTTATCAATAAAACATTTATAAATCTTCATCTTATTAGTCATTTTCCATACAGGCTCATGCTACAATGAGCATATAGGTGGGGACGTACATACATTCTTGTATCTTTATATATACATGCACAATACTATTAGGCCAACCTATTATGAATAATATTACAGATACTTACTTATATTTTTAATCAATCATATATACATTGAAATATTGATATTACATTAGACTAAAATCATAGCTTATATACACATACATGGATTTAAGAGAAAAAATAAATCTTTTACTGTTATCATTGTACTATTTTTCGTCAAGTGCAGTGAGAATTATATATATATAACAATAAGTAAAAAATATTATAATTGAGCCACCACCTATTTCTACAGTTACATGAACATGTGAAACATAGTATGATATGCAAACTCACATTAAATCATATACCGATATGTATATTCGACATTACAAACACCTAAACATATTATATATAGATTACATAAATATATACACATCAATAAGTCACCTACATATAGGCATACACATATTTACATACACACACATACTAGTATATAACCTTACATATTCTTATATAATTAAACAGTAGGTATTCATACATACATACGTACATAGATATATATTTAATTAAACAGCATTCATACATACATACATATAGACTCGATCTATTATTCCAAATAATAATTTACATAAAATATTTTCGATATATAATTTATTTGATACCTAGTTTCTTAAACATATATTAATTATTATATATTTACAGTTGATACATAAAATATATCACAACGTAGCCATGCATACTGATACAACGCTATCCAATATACAGCAATTAAATGCAATATAGGACCTACTCATATATAATTTACTCATTTTTCGTTAAATACGTAGGTAGAATTTATGCTGAAATCTAAAAATTTACTCATCAATATGAATATACGTTAAAATGTACTAATTTCGATATAAACATAGCTGTCTGTGTGTAAATACAAAAATCTTGCTAAAATAAGTAAAAATATCATAATTTCATTAAAATCATGTAATATTATAAAAAATATCATATCCCTGCCTAATTACCATCAAAGCCATATATACAGTTCAGTGTATCTAAATGCATGAACACCATTATAACGAGTCTAAACGGCCGATACATATCGTTGCATTTGATAATATAATATTATATGAACTTTTTTGATTGCTTCATTTTCAGTAGATAAACCCATGTACTATTTACACATATTTACCACACAATTCTAATACAGCTTAAGGTCTAGAATATCATATTAATATCATATTAAGAATTCTTAAAAGCATTACATGAAAACCCGTATTTATTTCAAAGATGAAACAAATTCCTATTTAAATTCCATGGTATTAATAATAAAAAGCATACTATTATATAGTTGTCTTCATCAAAACAAAATAAAATGTAAGTACGTTAAGCGGTGATAATTTTCCACTTAATGATTTCATATATAGAAAGCCATATATATTTCAATTACTTTTAATGCATATCTTATACACATAGCCCAGCATTTATTTTGTACAACATTTTAGAAATGTATTATTTGTACAGCTATATACTACATGGTCACATGGATGCTTATTACTTATACTTTTCATGTATTATTCCATATACATTGTAAAATAATGATGAAATCACTTGTATATTGCCATCACAAGCTTGGAAATATATTTGAAAAATCATGATTTTTCAGGAAAATCTGTAAAAATATGCTAATTTCTCCCAAATTATGATAATATTATAATTTTTATAAAATCTTATACAAATATAATTTCTATGTCAAGATCATGTCTAAAATATTGAAATTCTTAATAATAACATATAACTAGTTTGCAAATGGATCCATCAATCATATCGCGTTAGATATTAAATGCAACTATACACTATAACAGAATATTTCAGTTCTAAATAGTCGACTTACTTCTCTTCAATCTACACTATAATATGATATTATATCAAGTTTTATGACTCATACATTATATTATGTTAAAACATGTAAACATATTTTCATAAGTTCAATAAAATTGTGTTAAATTGTAATTATCATAATCTCACTGTAAAAATATATATATAACTAATATATTTTACCTTTAAAAACCGGTACATTCGTAGATACCTTTGCTAGAAGTTATTATTTTTGTTTAAATATCATAAAAACTGTATTCATAGAACCACACTCATCAGCTATATAATATAACACCCATACTATCATTAAAATGTTCAC